TGGGGCCCTGTCACACTGAGCACATCAGGTCATACTTGGGCCCTGTCACACTGAGCATGCTGGGTCATACTGGAGCCCTGTTACACTGAGCACATTGGGTCACACTGGGGCCCTGTCACACTGAGCACATCAGGTCATACTTGGGCCCTGACACACTGAGCATGCTGGGTCATACTGGAGCCCTGTTACACTGAGCACATCGGGTCACACTGGGGCCCTGTCACACTGAGCACATCAGGTCACACTGAGCACATCAGGTCACACTGGGGCCCTGTCACACTGAGCATGCTGGGTCATACCAGGGCTCTGTCACACTGAGCACATTGGGTCATACTGGGGCCCTGTCACACTGAGCACATCAGGTCATACTGGGACCCTGTCACACTGAGCATGCCGGGTCACGCCAGGGCCCTGTCACACTGAGTATGCTGGGTCATGCCAGGGCTCTGTCACACTGAGCACATTGGGTCACACTGGGGCGCTGTCACACTGAGCATGCTGGGTCATGCCAGGGCTCTGTCACACTGAGCACATTGGGTCATACTGGGACCCTGTCACACTGAGCATGCCGGGTCACGCCAGGGCCCTGTCACACTGAGCATGCTGGGTCATGCCAGGGCTCTGTCACACTGAGCACATTGGGTCACACTGGGGCGCTGTCACACTGAGCATGCTGGGTCATGCCAGGGCTGTGTCACAATGAGCACATTGGGTCACACTGGAGCCCTGTCACACTGAGCATGCTGGGTCATGCCAGGGCCCTGTCACACTGAGCACATTGGGTCACACTGGAGCCATGTCATACTGAAAACATTGGGTAACACTAGGGCCCTGTCACACTGAGCATGCTGGGATCCTACCACATTGGGTCACACTGGAGCCCTGTCACACTGAGCACATCGGGTCACACTGGGGCGCTGTCACACTGAGCATGCTGGGATCCTACCACATTGAGCACATTGGGTCACACTGGAGCCCTATTACACTGAGCACATTGGGTAACACTGGTGCCCAGTCACACTGAGCACATTGGGTCATACTGGGGCACTGTCACACTGAGCATGCTGGGTCATGCCAGGGCCCTGTCACACTGAGCACATTGGGTCACACTGGAGCCATGTCACACTGAGTACATTGGGTAACACTGGGGCTCTGTCACACTGAGCACATCGGGTCACACTGGGGCCCTGTCACACTGAGCATGCTGGGATCCTACCACATTGAGCACATTGGGTCACACTGGAGCCCTGTTACACTGAGCACATTGGGTAACACTGGGGCGCTGTCACACTGAGCATGCTGGGATCCTACCGCATTGAGCACATTGGGTCACACTGGAGCCATGTCACACTGAGTACATTGGGTAACACTGGGGCTCTGTC